TGTGTGTGTGTGTGTGATGTAGTTCTCGAGTGTTTGGCGGTGGTCTAGCCGTGAGAGCGTTGTTGGGCCACCACCACTCACCACACGCTACTCAGCCCAAGAGCCCACAGCTGTGTTTGAGCTACGACCCCAGACCTGTCACAATGTGATCCTCTCTGATGTGAGACACCTAAGGCGTATCGGCACGGGTGGTGGGAACACCGCGAGGCGATGACACCGCGGACACGTGCTGCTATTACGGAGTACCAATACAGCAGATCTTTTTTGCGTCAACGATAGAGGGTGACGTATAATACTGTACCGAACAATTTTGAGTTAATCCGTACCATTTTCGACAGGTTGAGTGACAACCCTACCCCCCCCCCCCAAACCGAAAAGTTCTACTTTGATTTGCACGTGGGTCTTCAAACGCCTTTTCTTTGAGACAAGAATTTTATTGCCGTTGACGTTTATCGCACTATATGGTTGTCGTTCACTTTATTCCAATTTCTGCCAAATCTTGTTATGGACACGGCGCACAAAAGCACTCATGTCTTTTCCATCTTTTTCCCCAGACGGACTTTGTATCTAGTGACCCGAGCAAACATGCCATAGATACAAACGCGTTCTTCTGGTGAAGCATTTGCATAAAAGAGGCAAAAGGGGGAACTATAAAAGGGGCCGGAGAATAGACAAGTTCCGTGCCAGGAACCAGGAAAGACTAACGTGACAGTGATTTGTACAGGAGCCACACTTACCTGGATTAATTGACGGAGTAACAAAACCCAGTGTGCCACTGTGATTATATCATACCCAGTGTATCAAAGGAGTTTTGGATTAACTAAGACGCCCCCGTCCTGTCCCGTTTTTCACCCAGATAGCATCACGCTAAGCGTACATCCTGTACGTGTGCTCCCTTCACGTGAATTCTCAGCAGATATCTGGGGATATCGATGTTTAAAAAGAATTGCCCCAAAAGATCTACACACTGCTGGAGTGACAGATAGATAGTGTGAAGAAGCTGTACATCTCATCCCCTGATCTTCAGTTTCAAGCCGATGGTTGTGGACAACAACATTAAAAACTTCCCGTCAGAAGATATTAAACTATCGCCGAAACAAGGTATCTGAAATACACGCTACAACATTATTTCTGAGCGTGGGACGACATGGCCGGGTCCCAGTGGTCGCCAACTGTCGTTTGACGGGGCATGCCGGAAGTGACGGTGACTTCTCTGCTGTTCAGTACCGTCTGCGCCCCGATAGCCATCATCATCATGACCAGCATCTTCCTCTGTTGCTGGGGCCGGAAGAGTTCCGCAGAGATCAAAGACAAGGGCCAGCCGGTCAAAGAAAAATCGCCCTCTCCCCAGGCAGAGGAGAAGAATGGCACGACAGGGTAAGTATAGCAACATTCTTTCTAAGTTGGTTTGTTGTAGTTGTTTTTTCCGTTTTCTGGAAAGGGGGGGGGGGATTCTTAAATATAAATAATCTTGAATAAGAGCACACCGCATCATCGATTAGTAATGTGAATAACTCAGATGGAAAGTGGCTTGAAAGACATTTTTTGAAGGTACACAACAATTGTCATCAAGGCGTTCAGTGTAAAGAAGCGGCTGAGTACAGAGTGAAATTGAGAGAACGATTTATGAATATTCTAAGCCCAGATAAACGCAATTAAAATGTACATATTTTGGTGGGTTGCTTCAACCCTGCACGTCAAAGCGACCCGGGCTGAGTGGGTTACAGCGTCTCAGCAGACAGACCGAGATACTCGATTTTAAAAAAGCAATTCCCCATTCGGGAATCAAGAGCGCGATTGTCGCATCACAGATGATGGTTCAAACAAACTGAAATGAAGAGTGAAAAGATGAGGGGGTAACGTGTACCCGCCACAATTATTGAAGACATGGTTGCTATATATACTCGTCAAAAGGAACCAGAGCGATCTTGTTAGTTATTCGAAACATATTAACATAGAGGTACGGACGCTGGTCAAATACAGCCCCCAATTAAGTAGCGTCAAGGGTCAGATATTTTATTTCAACAGCTCAAACGTTTCAGCAAGATTCAAAGACACACACCCCCCCCCCCCCCCCCCC